TCGCTAGTTCCTTTTGTTAATTCATGTTAACTGATCAGACCTGTGAAAGTGCAAAACTGTTGGTGTAAGTCACTTTCGTCACAGGTCTTCACAAAGTGGTCTGTACAGACTTAGATGAGCACCATTCGATACATCCAGCAAAACAAACTGCGCCTTATATGTTCGCTGCGGAATAAAATGGGCCTTTGGTGAAGCTGGGCTTGATCGCCATCAGCCTCCTCTCCACTACTTTTCCAAGAGTGTAAGCGTCAGTGACTGGTGGGAAACGACTGATACGCAAGATGTCATACAATCTTGTTGGTCGTTTCTTGCCGAAAGAATAGAAAACACTGCGCCAAACCCATCCTCCTTGACATTCTCCATCATTCGCAGAAATCAAAGACGTGTATTATTCTGGTTTTAGAATGGTCCTCAAGGATCACGACTGATTGAAAATTTTCAGCCATTCAGTTCAAAACGACAACCACATTGAGAGTCACTTTGGTGCCTAATCCATTGTCATTTCCCTTTAACTTTTTAATTGTCCTTGATTTACGAGGAGCCCACGTGCCACATAATGTTATGCAACAATAACGAGTATAGCTCTTTTTTTTCATTGATTACTATTCAGGTAGAAGCCAATGGATCATCTCTGTTCTTCTTATGCTAATTACTATTCACTGGTAAATGAGCATTTTATTAGACTAGGAAAACGTTTCGATAGACTCTTAAATTGCAGTGTGGAGGCCAATCCCATTGGAACTCTTCCCGGATCACCACCTACTAACTTCAAACAGTATTCTGGTTACTTAACAGTCGGAACGAAAAAGCAAATATTCTACTGGTATACACGGATCTGTTATTGAAAGTACGATGAGTGTGCCTTGCATTACTTTGTTCAGGTTTGTTGAATCTCAGCATAATCCTAGTGGTGATCCCTTGGTGTTGTGGCTTAGCGGTGGACCAGGATGTTCCGGCATTGCCTCTCTTCTCACAGAATGGGGACCATTCATGGTAGGCAGTTAATTTTTTTAATATTTCTCTGATAGCGAACTATTGAACTAATCTTCATCACATTAAGGTCAATGACGATGGGAAAACGCTTAGGAAAAACCCATATTCTTGGAATACGAAGGCCTCCGTTCTTACTATGGATTCCCCAGGTGGTGTTGGATATTCCTATGCCGATAACGGCTACATCGATACTGATGACGATCAGGTATGTTGAGGGGATCACAGTTGCAGAAGGAGACATAAAAAGGCCTCAATCATCACAACCCCTCAGCAACCCCGCAGCCTACCACACCTTTCTAAAGCTGCTTTATACTTTGCGACAGCGTACGCTAGCGTTTCCAGCGTTCGGCAGCGGCAGTGGGAAGGATGGATATCGATCTAGCGTCACCAGCGTACGCTAGCGTAACGCTAGAATACTCTAGCGTTACGCTGGCGTACGCTAGCGTAGCGAGGGCAAGGAAAGCATAGGTATCGATTTAGCGTTTTCAGGTATATATAGTGTAGTTCGCTGCCGACAGTTGGGCGTGTCCGTGCGTTCTTCACCCAGTTGTTGAAGCGGGCAATGACTAATACTCTATCGTATTTCTTCGTATCTACTAGTCTTCTACCACTTTTTGTCGCAGACGCTCAGAAGGCAGAGAACGGCTTTGATAGGGTGACACACTCATACTGGCTGACACGCCCAACCGTCCGCAGAGAACTATAGTGTATGTGTTATATGTAATATATAGGGTTTGGGTTTACATAGGGTTTGGGTTTTCTCTAAAGGGTTTGGCGATCTAGGCTCCGCCCCCTTGACCACGCCCACTTGCTTTTTGCGGAATTTTGATATTTTTTCAAAATTTTTGCGTTTTTGGTCTGCTAGGTGAAGCCCCGCCCACTTTCAAAAATGGTGCAAATCGGCAGTATAGAGTCTTGGCTTGCATGCTAGGGTCTCGTCCGTCACTCGGAACAAATAAATCAGGCAAAGTTTGTTCCGAGTGACGGACGAGACCCTAGCATGCAAGCCAAGACTCTATACTGCCGATTTGCACCATTTTTGAAAAGTGGGCGGGGCTTATTCAAAGTGGGCGGAGCCTCTCACAGTGGGCGGGGCTTCACGTAGCAGACCAAAAATGCAAAATTTTGAAAAAATATCAAAATTCCGCGAAAAGCAAGTGGGCGTGGTCAACGCTAAATCGATACCTATGCTTTCCTTGCCCTCGCTATGCTGCTTACGCCAGCGTAACGCTAGAGTATTCTAGCGTTACGCTAGCGTACGCTAGAATACTCTAGCGTTACGCTAGCGTACGCTGGTGACGCTAGATCGATATCCATCCTTCCCTTGCCACTGCCGCTGCCGAACGCTGGAAACGCTAGCGTACGCTGGCGTACTCTGCCGCAAAGTATAAACGCAGCTTGAGAGGCAGAAGTGGTACTCTTCTGCAGGTGCGGACCTGTCCACCTCGACTGTGGGAAATGGCCTCGTCGGTGAGCACACTGTGTGCCTTTAGAGCACTCAACGGCAAAACCCGCGATCATTCATCATCACAGATATTGGATTAGGGGTCTGCATATAGAAAGACAATCATTCTTGATAGTGGAAGGATAAAGCAGAAAAGGAACATGTATGTGCCTTAGATATCCGAATCGCATTCTGAATCAGATCCGTACGTGCCGGTGTAACTCACATCTCCAACAGCTAGCGCCCTGCACCGTATAGCTGATCTCCTGATAAGAACTCTAAACCGTGCAAGTAACCGCTTTTTGCTTGCTTACTTCGTCTAGCAAGCAAGTTTTTTGAAAAGGCAGACCTTTGAAGGCGGAGTCTGGAGGCGGAGTCACTGGAAAAAACGAGGCGTCCCTGAACCTATATTGCGCTACAACGCCCCTCCCATACAATTTTTTTCGCCGCAAAGCCGCGGTAGGCTGTTTGTGGCAGATCACACTACTCCCGACGCCGATTTTTCTAGCTTCACACTGACTTGCGAGCCTCCCCCGCTTCATGAGCCGTGCCTTCGGAAGCGCTCATGAAGCGGGGGGAGGGGGAATATTACATCTATTCAGACTTACACCTCTCACAGTGTACAGTCCGTTTTCAACCGCTGAGCGCGTTCAGGGCGCGGGGCGGAATTTAGCCGCGAAACGCCACCGCTTTTTTAGCACCAATTGGATGTCACTTGCGCCGCCTCAAATCCAGCCTTCCCATCCCCCCCTCCCCCCCCGCCCAGGCGCCTCCAGCAAAACGACAATATGTGGTGCGTAGTAGTGCAGAACGGCAATCTTGCATTTCAACACTCCAATCAAGGCACGTTCTGCCGTTCGGAAAAAGAATCTCGGATTACGACTCCCTCAAAGTTTTTTCCTCTAGTCGATCCCCACACTTTCCCCACACCCATCCTATCAAAAACCTTTTTGAATCCTCCGAGTTTTCTTCCGGAACGTCTCCAGCTCTACCCCAGAAAGCTACCGCTCCCGTTTCCTCTACGCGATCTCGGGCAGGACGAGGTTAAAAATTCAACTTTGCATATAGAGAACTATCGTAATTTTCTTGTTCCAGACAGCCAAAGAAAATTGGGAGTTCCTGGTCGAGTTTTTCAAGAAGTTCCCACAATACCAAAGGAATGACCTCTACATAATTGGAGAGTCCTATGGAGGTTCGAAAGGCTTTCTGATCGTTTTCGTGGATCTTTCTTACACAGAATGGGTCAAAAGGGAGAAGGCTATTAGCTTGGGAGAAGGAGGAGCGCAAGTTCATGCGTGCGTGGCCGTCGCTATTGACTGCAGGCTCCTCGGCACGGATGTGCTTGCACTTCTTACTTTCCAGTTGCTTATTCAAGTGTTGCCAAGCTATGAAATTTTCAATTTTGAGCCAAATGCAAACCCTGCAGGTATCTACGCTTTCACTTTGGGACAAAAAATTCTAGAAATGCAGCGCTATTTCCACATGAACATCGAGGTGAGTCCACGTCTCTACGGCTGTAGGAGTGATAGAACTTGGGTCGAGCAGAGTGTACAGACGTCACAAGCATTACATGCTCAGTCAAAGCCGATCGCTTCACGTTTGCGCCGTGCACTTCACTTCCATTGAGAATTGTAACGAGTCCTGGATGTTTGGTCCACAAAATGGCGAAGGGAGATCCAGCCAAAGTTTATAACGCTGCTTTCGCGTTCCCAAATGATCCAAAAGCAGAGGAACACTTTGTTGGCATATGCTAACCGTACAAATGACAAGTACTAGTACCCTCACACCCAAATATCAATAGGCTGGTTATTTCCGTGATTATTATATAGGTTCTGTGGCTGCGTTCATACTTTGCGCCAGCGTCCACCGGCGGCCATCAGCTTTTCGAGCGTCTCTCAGCGTCTGCGACTAGGAACGTATAGATATCGATCTAGCGAATGGCAGCGTCTATCAGCATCCACCGTGCGTTGCCTGCCCGACCTATCTAGCATCCAGACAACTATTGGGTTGGCACATAAGTACTTTCGTTTTTTTTCAACCGGAAATTTCGTTCCAAAGATGAAATGTTTTGCTAGCAAGCTTGATATCATCTGATAGGAAACTTCACGTAGTTTTAGAATATCAAAACGGTTTCGGCGGTTGGGGGAATAATTTTTGTACAATTTATTTAATCGTTAAGTTAGAAAGCGGTAAGTCGGCAAAATTAGACCTTCGACATAACTGCCTCTATTAAGTATAAGTCGAAGTGCTAAAATTGCTTAAGCTGCTCCATACATTTGGAAAAGGTCGAGCTAGAAGTTCCAGCAAGGGAATCTCACTAGGACGCTTTGGAACGAATTTCAAGAATTTTGAAGTTACCAACCTTCACCTCGCCGATATTGGGCAGCTCATAACTTAGATGTTTCGCTGATATGGTTTGAATGATCCTGATAACAAAATTTTGCCTATAAATCATAAACATAAAAATCAGTTCGTTCCGGAGGCTTATTTACTTTCTGTTAAGCTCAGGTTAGTCTTTACGAAGCTGGGAGGTCGTACGAAATCAGAGTTTTCCCGGACTTCTTTCTCAACCGCCTGTCCACGGAAGCCAAGAGCTTCCTAAAGGCCAAGCCTCAATAGAGTCGCCATGGTTTGAGTAAGGCTTAGAGTAACAGATTAGTGTTAGGACAGCTCTTAGCGAATTTCCCGAGCAGCATCAGCAGCTCCGATACCTCTGTTGAATGCGAAAAGGAGGAGATGTCTGAAGTGCTGATGCTTATCGATCTGACATTCCATATTATTTACCTGAAAAACAAGATTCATCAAACGGATTTTCCAAATAACTGCAACGCAGGTTATAACGAGCACGAAAATTGGCCTATCAGAACATAGTGAAGAGATCGATTAGCGAAAACATCGTAAATGTTAGTCCATAAATTCGTTCGGAAAACGGGGAACCCTAGTCTCAACCGACTTTGCATTCCGTAACGATAACCTGCAACTTACAACACGAAAGCAACATCCTCTGGGAGAGAATCAGACTTTTATGCGAGTGTTATAGAGCCACGAAAATTTCGCTATCACGATCATGCAAATAACATATCAGCGAAACATTCAAAATTAGCATAAAATTTCAGGTGGAACAGACGTGAGCTGCCCAATATCGGCGAGGTGAAGGTTGGTAACTTCAAAATTCTTGAAATTCGTTCCAAAGCGTCCCAGTGAGTATTTCCCTTGCTGGAACTTCTAGCTCGACCTTTTCCAAATGTATGGAGCAGCTTAAGCGATTTTAGCACTTCGACTATACGTAAATAGAGGCAGTTGTCGAAGGTGCTAATTTTCGCCGACTTCGCTTTCAACTTCAACGACTAAAAAATCCACAAAAATTATTCCCTCAACCGAAGCCGTTTTGATATTCTAAAACTACGTGAATTTTCCTATCAGATG